GTGAGGCTGTGAATAGAATGCTAATGGTTGTGTGTCACAGCCTGTGCCAGGTGTCTTCTGTATTATATGTTTGCTTACATTGGTTTTCAGTCTCATGGATCTAAAATGGCAGGAAGCCTCCTCAATTCTTTAACTTATTGGTAGATTGTTGACTTCCGTTTATGAATTTTCCACTTATGTTGTTTTTGTTAACAACTCCCTGCTAAATCAAAAGTAACAAAACATACTTAATGCAAACACACTTCTCTTTGCATGTGTTTAAGAGAAACACATCCTCTCTGTGATAATGCTTTTCTTACTTCTAGCCATTCAGTTACACTGTGGGCTTTAAATTCTGGGAGACCTCCCTGAATCTAATGTGAGTGTCTCCCATCATCCCAGTGATCAAGGACTTCACTTATCTTTCTTATGTCATGAAATAAGAACAGCAGAACTCCTCCTGCAGACCTAGTATAGCGGTCTATCCAGTGATCCCTGTGTTCTTTCTCTGGCAGTAGGAGTGGCCAGACTGATTTTTATTTATTTATTCTGTGGTCCATTTTCATTGTATATGTCCAGAATCCACAACTGTCATAATGTTTTCAAAGATAAATCCATGCCTATTGTGTTTAGTATCCATTTATGCACCTATGATCTAATGAAAGTATCCAGAGTAACATTTTTGTATTCTGCAAATAATATAGTAAATAATGAGCTCAAGTTTATTTCATTTTATAACCTAAGGTTGTAAATATCTGATATTGCACTGCTGTTAGGTTTCTTAGCAGTTGAACAGATTGGTCCAGCACACCATACTTTCTGTGTTTTTTCAGCTTATAGATACGTGTGCAAATAGTTTTGTTTTCTTCAGCTGAAGTAGCTACCACAGCTGCCTCCCAGAGGCAATGTGGCAGCATGTCTTTAAACAAGTGACATTTCCCTAGCGTTTGTAATATGATATACACTCCTTGTAGGAAGGAGGTGTTCAATTTTCTTGACTTTGCCAGAAGCAGAACAGAATTGTTGCGGTTTTCAAGATGATTAGTGTATTAAAATACAGAAAGTATAGAAATGAACTGTGTATGCTGTCATGCCATTCTAGTACTAAACATACATATCCTATCATGTTGGTTTGTTCCTGTTTTCTCCTGCAGCCCTCATATAGTAAAGAAGGCAATAGTAAATTTGTAAAATACACCCGCTATGGACACTCCTCCTTTAGGAAGGAGGTGCATGCAGATTGCTTGTTATGGTTATGGGTAAAGATACTTACAAATATTACACTTATTAAAGATGGAACCATTAAGAATTAGTTCTTGTTCCTAAGCACCAAAAGTATATGTAATAAAGACAGAATCTTAGAATATGTTAGGTCTTAAATAACCTTTGGAAATTGTGTGGTCTAAAAGACTGCACCAGGCAGCTTGTTTTTTCTAAGGCTTGGTTTCTTACAGACATTTGCAATTCCACACTGTTCAAGTTTATATCTTGTTATTTGGGGTTTCTCGGTTGCATTGTTTGAGGTATTTTTACACTGCCATTGCAGCAAATGCTTTTATGCTTGCTTTAAAATCTGATGTTCCTGTTCTAGATTGAAGACTTCTTTCAAATATTTAAGCCCTAATTTCCTTTGGTGCCCAAGAATTTATTCCCAAAAATAGGCATAAGAATTTGAGATATGTAGTTTCTAAGCAGGCTTAAAGACAAAAAGGACAATTTGTATTAATGTACCAAGTGAGTTGGTTCAGCTGGTTCTAGAACTACAGGTGATGTTGCTGTAGTGATGTTAGTTTGCCTTATGGGAAATCTCAGCTTGTTGCTTTAACTTTGGAGCAGTGTGGCACTAGCTCATCTGCTATTCATGGAAGATGATCTGCAATCCTTATCTGCCTTCGTGTTTTACCAGCGCAGTGTAATATGGCAGTAAGCTTGAACTGCTTTGGTGCCTTGATTCCACTAGCTGTATGTAGTGTTACAAGCCTCAGGTTAGCGGAAAGGAGGGACGGAGGAATATATCAAAGGGAAAAAAAGGGCAAAAGTAATTTAGTTGCTTTCAAGAGAAGCTGTTCTCGGGGCTTTCTTCAGAGGCGGGAGGAAAGTTTGGTGTGAAATGGACATGTTGCTGAATTTAATCATCATAATGCTACTGTAGCAGGTGATATTCAGTACCTGGTTTGTACTGTGGCTGAAAGCTTTAAATCTGAGAACACCTCTATTTTCTTAGCCTAGTAAACATTTTAGACATCTTGAATTACTGCCTTTGTACTAGCTCTTTGTAGTTTGACTTAGATTTAGTGTCGTGATTTATTCCTCCTACGCTGCAGATAGCTAAATGCATTCCCTGTATTTATTACAGTATGACATACCAGCCACTGTGGCGTTCTCTCCAGTTCCCCCCACCTTGTTTGTTGTTTATCTGAAAGCAACTTTTGAGTCTGATCCTCACATCTAAGATTTTATATACCTATTCTTCCTTGTCTTTCTATATTGTTTCCGTTCCCTGTGCAGTTACATTTCTGAGTATTTCTATATACTTACTATGAAATCAGGAGAGGGAAGGACAGCAGGGAGACAGAAGTAATCTGCTTCTGACTGAGAACTGAGGGGGAGAATTGGTTCTTTAATGCATAAGGGAAACCTACCTCAAACTACTTTTTTTTTTTTTTTGCATATTTTTACAAAGTAGATGCATATGTGTATTAGAGTATGCACAGGTACTCTGTATTACAAGTAATTCACTAATATTTGAATGAGCTGGTAGTGGCTGTTGCTGCAGATCAGGATGAGTTGCAGCTTATTTGGCTGTCCTTTTTGTCCAGTCACTGTTGAGGGCTTAACTTTTTGTCATCTGTTTTAGATCCGTCTGGGCTAAACAATATGGAATGTCATGTCAAACATGGCCATTATGCTCTCTGAGGAGCAGTAACTGATGCATTTATTCTGTGAAGCACAAATGAAAATGAGATATATTTCTATTTATGTGTAGTTTAATTCATACTAGTGTTTATGCAACTTCCCATTAATATGTTAAGAACATTCATTTCTCTTTATCTGTTTTTCTTCTATTTTAAGGATACTGCAGGTGCTACAATATTTACCCATTGAAGGAGATAGTATTTTTTTGACTGGGAAGTTGACGTAGCATGCTGCTTCAGCATAGGTTTTTACATTAAGAATGAAACTCCATATAACTTAAATGAAACACCATCACATGTTGAATCAATTGAGATAATGCTGTTTCATTTTTGCTATTCTTACTTTGAACAAATTTTCTTTTAACCTTGGATAATGTAAGGAGCTGAGGACTTCTTGTAGCACAACTCACATCTGCCTTTTGTATTCGTGCTTTTTTCCTCCCCTAGAAGTGTAACTGTGTTGCGTTTATATAACCAAGCAATTGTTCAGAGCTGGGCTTTCAGCATAATACCACTAGGTGAATTTTGATTTGTGTTAGCAGTTGAGTCATTTTGTCTAATTCTGGAATAGTTACAAAACATGTAAGCACAGCATTCTCAGTGGGAATGCTGTGGTCGTGGTCCCCGGAATCTCTCCTGTGCAGAGGATTGGGCAGGGAGAGGATTGGCCTGGCAGATAAATGTGAGAGGTCAGATCTGTGAGATGTGAAACTGAGTCAGAGGTGTTCTGGGAAAACAGGTACAGTGCCAATCAAAATTCCTGCTAATGATAAGGCAACCGATTCTGTTTTTTAATCAAATACTGTTTGTATGCTGTATACTTAAATAGAACACGGAAAGAGCCTGTTGTGTCATAACCTGTATGTGGTATAGCTCATTATTTGAATATTTTTATGGTTTAGAGCCACGTTAATGAACAGTATTGCACAAACTTCCTTCTATGCGCACAGTTATCACAGAATCACAGAATTCTAGGGGTTGGAAGGGATCTCCAGAGATCGAGTCCAGCCCCCCTGCCAAAGCAGGCTCCCTACACCAGGTCGCACAAGTAGGCATCCAGGTGGGTCTTGAATATCTCCAGAGAAGGAGAGTCCACAACCTCCCTGGGCAGCCTGTTCTTCCAGCGCTCCGCCACCCTCACCATAAAGAAGTTCTTGTGCACATCTGTGCGGAACTTCCTATGCTCCAGAATATACAATCAAAACTTATAAATGCTCTCTATCTTCAGACTGTTTTCATGACTTCTAACTTTCTTGAAGAAATGCTTAAGCAGCAATAAAATTCATTCCAATGCAGCACGTTATCATGATAAGCCTTTTTATGTGAGTGCGCTAAAGAAAATTGCCATTTCACTTATTGAGGAGAATAAAATTAAACAGTACAGCTTTCACAGTACAAGGTGGGGAAGAAGGAGCCTGTAAGCAAAATCTTTCATTTCATTTCATGTGGGGTTTTGGTGGCAGTTTGTGTTCGTTTGTTTTGGTGGTTGTTGTTTTGTTTGGTTTTTTTTGTTTGTGCCATCTGAAGTTCCTTGTATAGCTGTCCACCTGCTTATTCAGTAAAACCTGAGGGTATGGCATTATCTTTTATATGCTTTGAACTCGTTTTTTTCTACTCAGAGTAATCATTATCTCCCATCTCTGATAGTGTTATTTTCAACCGGAGATAAAAGGACAGTAGAACAGAAAACAAGTGCTTAAACCTGAAAGGATGGTTTTCTTAAAATCATTTGTATGCTACGCTTCATCCTTTTTTTTTTCTTTTGACGTCTTTAATACACCTCTTTGTTTCCCTTCTCTTGAATGAGTTCTACTTTAAGCAGACATGATCACATAAATCCTCTGAAGCACTCTTTCACACTGTTGTGATATTTAAGAGAATTTAAGTGTATATGAAGCCTGAAACATCTTTTTTCTTCTCCTGTGAAGAATCTATATATTGCTTAACTTAATGGATCCAAAATAAAAAGATGATAGGTTTTTATTTTAATTTTGACTTACTAAAAATGCAATGATGCATACTACTTTGTTTGGAACCTGTCTCTATTCTTAAGAAATGTTCTTCAGTTGGTGTGAAATATTTTATTTCTCTTGGTTTTATTCCCAGACTTGTTCCTTACTACCTCAAATCCTGACATTCAGTTTGAGACTTGGATAAATAAGGTAAGAGAGAAGACTGAAGTAACCATGATACTCAAATGCAGAAACATCAAACAGAAAACCATAAAAGGCTGTCTGACGTTCCTGGTTTGAGGAACAGATCGCTCAAGATCTTTTACTCAGCACAAGTTTCTCTCCGGGTTTTTCAACAGGACTACAAAGGAAAACAGTCAGACTGCTTTCAGACGCTCAGCAGGACCCCTGCTGTGTCATCAGCTGTTGTGGGAAGTTACTGACACTTAGCACAATGGTTTCTGAAGAAATGGCTGATCAGATTTTTTTGTTCTCGTTGTCTCAAAGATTTACTCTCTATAAGCAAGCTTTCTTAGAACTGTGACTTCAGATCCTGGGTAAGATTTTGTGGGACAGAAGTTCAAAATCTCACCTGTAACCATTAGAATGTGTACATAGGTTACAGCTGAAAAAAGTTGCAAGTCCTACATTAACCAGATATCACAAATATAATTCAGAAAATGCTTAATGTGTTTCTTATTGTCTAAGGAATGAGTCTTTTGAGGCCATGTGTACCTGAAAATGTATCCGCTGTAACACAGCGAATCAGTGTAAAATTGGGAACGTGGTCTCGTCATATGTCAGCATGGCCATCTTCAGCCCGCTGCTGACATGGAGGTATAAAAAGCTCCTCTGCCAGAAATTATCAAATACTAATTTTTGGCATAAGTTATGAAAGCTGTACTGAGAAACATTTTTAAAGCAGTGGATTATTTTTATTTTTAGATCTTTTAATTTTTAAAATCTAATACTTCTATTTTATACAAGCTTAAAAATGAACAGATTTTAGTTTTGAAGAGTGAAATCTTTGAGGAATTTAACCTTTGACCACAGGGAATTTCACACTTGGGTGTTTGTTTTTTTTTTTTCTTTTCTAAACTTGTGTTCTGAGCTATTTTCCTACATTATATAATTTGCATCTGTAGGGACTACAAACAGGCCTGCAGTTTTTTGAGATCGTATGGATAGTCCATGTACCATTTTCTTCTAAAATGCTAAATGTCACCTTATTAATCTCACTTATTCATAAAATTATTTGCTATTTTAGAATAGATATATTGAGCACAGTAAAAGATGTTGTATCAAGGTACTTGCTGTTGAAGCTTTGTTTGCATTCATGTGCCTCTTCGAGCCTTGACAATAAATATTGCTCAAGAGAATTCTCTTAAATTTTTTCTTTATCTGAGCTTTTATAGATTACATGTCAAGGAGAAGATGCATAGTTAAACATCCAGGTACTAACAGTCTAAAGCTGCTTTTGCAGCATACATAATTGCTGTGTGTATGGTTGTGCCCATGTCAATTTATGAGCTGACTGCAGTGACTAGAAAAGTAAGCCTTGAATTGTCTGCCTTAATTTAAAAAAAAAAAATCACATCTTAAATGGTCTCATTCACAGTTGTGATCTTTTTTTATAATAAACAAAACCTGAGCATTTCTTTTTTTTTGTCTTTCTGATGAAACACGGAATAACATTTTTTGCAGGCCAAGGTTTTAATAAGGACTTAAAACAAGACCTAAACCAGACCTGATGTGAAATCAAGTCATTTCTTAATTAGAAGGAAAATCAGGAATTCTAACAGTTTTGTGTGTGTGCTTTTAAATATTAGTATCTATAAAATTACGTCACTACACAAATAACAGTAGTATTCTTAATCATTTAATTATGATTTAGACTGTTGCTAGAAACCCCCTCTGTTCCTAAAAACACAGAAAAATATGTGGACAATTGTATCTAAGCAATGTTATTATTGGATTTCCACAGGATTCCATGAAGGATTAGAATTGGAAAAAAAAATCTCCTTTTCCAAACAGCTCACTTTTTGCTGTAGCTGCGATTTTTCTTACCTATGTAAACTATTCTTTATTTGTATGGGTTGGGGTTTTTTGTTCAAAAATGAAGCTTTGTCACTTGATCTGTAATTCACTTTCTCCTTCATCTTTGTTTGATAGGATGGGAACTTCTCTAAATCTGAAAAAAGTAAAGCAAAGCCTAGTGGTGCAGTGGTTGTTGGACAGTCTGTATTTGCAGATTTTGGTGAGTGTTATTTTTTTTTAAAACTACTCATATCCCAAATGTTTCTTTTTCACAACTTAGTTAGCTATTCTACATCAAAGAATGAATAAAGCTGTTTAAAATATGTTTAATTCTGAAGTTATTTTCTGGTTTATTTGTTTGGGTTTTTTTTAAAGATTTTCAATCTCTGTGACTGTTGATCTTGAAAATTCTGGGAGTAACTTATTAATAAACACAACTAAATTTGACTTCAGTTATTTTGGTGCATTCTTTGTCATGCATACTTATTTTCTTCTAAATTCTACACTTGTGAATATGTACTGTGTGTTTCATGCATGGTACAAATATCGAACCAGTTATCAGTTATCTCATTTTTTGTGATTTTGTGGTTTTATTGTGTTCTTGTTTTACCTGAACCAAGCAGAACTGCCTACAATCAATTATGACCTATCATTGTGTGTGTTGTGTTGCAGACAACAGAAAATGCTTATTTTGTAATTCAAAAATACTACTTTTGTGTGTGCTCTAAACTAAAAAAAACTGTGACCCAAGAGAAAGTAGTACAGGCCTAATTCTGTTGATGTTAGTGAATATCAATTTTCAAAGAATGAATTAATTTCTTATATATCCCACTTCATTGTGAGACCGAGCCTATCTTTAAATGTAGTCCAGTGTGAACTTTGTTGCGTCATTATGACTGTTAAATACTGTGAAAAAAGAATGACAATTCTTAATATTAAAAGTCAGACTGCATTAGCCTAATTTTCCAGTTCTCTTTCTGTCTGTTCCTACTTCCAAGTATTCATAAAAATTCTAAAAAAATTCTAAAAAATCTCTTTCCTGACTTTCATCTGGAAAACATCTCTGCTGGTTAGCATTTCTTAGTCCTTTCTACAGCAACTGTAATTGAGTTTACATATCACTAGTAAATAAAGGTAAAACTTTAGCAATGCTTGAAGTTCCTGTTTGAAATTCTTACCATGTTTTGTGCAATCTTTTATTATTTATCTACAAATATAAACACTTAAGTATAAATACTACATCTTCTGCAATTCAAAATACTTCTAAATACATTGGATTTTTTTAACTATTTTTCAAGCTCATGTTCTGATTAATGTCTTAATACATGTTAAGTATATAGTGGATTTTTTTTATGGCACTGTGTAAAGCAATCTTTATGTAGGATATATTCATCTCTGTGTTGGGTAGCTAATAAGTCCAAATGTTTACATAGTTTTAGAAGTTTATCATAATGAGATTTTAAAAAAACCTTGAGGCATCTTTGCAAAGAGGAGTATAACTGTTCAGATATCAAAATTATGATTTTAAAAAATTCAATGAAGTCAATGCACACTGATAGAACAGTGCAGTACGCAGTGGGTTTGGTGCAGCAAGGACTGTGGAAGATGGCCAGTGTAGTTATGCAGCAGCAGGGAGCTGCCATTGGTTCAGAGTTCCATGACAATTTGTATAATACTCTCCTCTGCCAGTTGTCATCGAACTTACAGGTGGAGCATCAACGTGAGACAATAGGGGAACAACATTCTAGTAAAAATACATGGGAAAATACATGTAGGGACTTGAGAAACAGGCAAAAATAAATGCAGAGGTGCAGTGAATCTGGCAGAGAGAACAGAGGTAGGTAATAATCAGTATCATCTACAGAAGGTGCTGACTTTTTTGGACCTGGTTATTCTGGGAGATCTCAGCTGTAAGAGATAACACCCACCCACCCACATCTTGCAGTATGTCCTCCTCAGCATTCTCATTACCATCTTTATCTTCACAGATGAATTCACATCACAGAAATTAATCCAGTGTGAAAGGGGCAACTTCTAACGTTGTTTCTTTTTTCCACCATCTCTTCAAAGAACATATTTGGCTAGATCTCCTGCTACACAGGTTTTTCATGAAATTTTTAGAAATGCTGTTCATTAGACATCAGTGCATTTCTTGGCTGATAGGAGCTGATATTCTCAAAATCATTAGAGGAGACGTGCCTTTTATTTTTTTTTTTTGTTAAAAGATTAGTCTTAGGTCATTTGTAGGTCATTTCTACACTCTGTTTCTTTTTTCTAGACCTTTTTATGGCTGAGCACAGATATGTCTTTCAGTCACTTACAATTAGTGTGCGAAAATCAAGTGTAGAGAAAACTGATGCAAGGACTCCTACATTTACAGAGTGCTTAAAGGATAACTGAAATTCAGAAGACGTTCTAAACTGGCAGTATATGCACAGATACTGAAAAATGAATGTTCTTTGTCCTCTGTGTTGAAAAATGACTCTGTTATATTATGTCATCTGTTCAGCTGCAGAAACTGAAATTTTTATGGGAAAAGTAAAGCAGATATTTGTCGTCTTTGTTTTGAGATATATAGGTCTTTTTAATTGAAACTGCAAAGGAAAAATGTGGCTTCTAAGTCAACTTTATGCAGTCTTTGAAAGAAAAGGATGGAAGAAAGTTTGGGGTGCTTAGTGGGGTTTTTGAGGGATTTGGGGGGATTTTTTGTTAAATGCTTTGTGGGCTTTCAAGTAAGGGTTGGATGTAAGAGGTTTTAGATTGCCCCCTTGGCTGCAGAGAGTAATTTGTTCAAGAGGTTTGAATCTCTGTACGTAGAAGATAAGGAAAAATTATCACCTGTAATTATGTCTGAAGGAACAAACTTGACAGAAGCTTAATATGCATTGTGAATGGCTGTATCCAAGCTGGAAACATTTTGATGAATGAAAATAGGTATGAAGAGATTTGTGATTCCTCATTTCCTTCATTGATGTGCGTGCACTTTCTAGGGATTGTGTTTGAATCAGGCATTAAGGTTGCATGAATCTTCCATGTCAAGATGCTGCTGATGCATGCTTTAATTTTCCTGAGGAAAAGGAATGCTGTAAGTGTGTGCACGTGTATTTTGATAAAGGAACAAAGATTATTCTGACAGTTAAAAAAAATATGTACAACTATGATTTAGAAATTACTACTTGAGAACTACTGTGACTTAAATGTTGAATTCATTTTTCTTCTATTATAACAGTTGGTAGAAAATTGAATAATGCATCAGATTTGTTTAAATTAATCTCCCCAGAATTTCTCTAAAACAACAAATAATTATTTTCTTACTGAACAAATTTTTAGAGAATTCTGAAGTACTAAAACAGTGTGTATAAGTAATGAAGAAATATAAATTAAATTCCATGCCTTTTTATGAAGAGCAGTCTGATAGAATTTGAATAATATCCCTACCATCTCCCCAAAAATTCTACCTAAACCTAAATGCCTGTACCTAACTGCATTTCTCCACTTGGCTACATCTGCACATTTCGAGGTGCTTCAAAAAGTAGGCATTTATTGCACAAGGTTTGGGTGTAGTGAACTGAAGTTAAAGGATACCTTATGAATAGTTTATCAGACTTGAACATAATCTTTTTTCAGATTTGTTTCAAAAACGATGAAAAAACAATTGCCTTAAATCATAAGGAAGTTTAGTTATGATGGTTTGCAATTTTAAATTGTATTTCGGGTGCTGTAATTGCACCTGAAAAAAGTTTCACTGGATAACAAATCAGAATAGCAGAATGAGAAAATGTAAACTTACAAGGTTGCACTACCTTTTACCTAAGTAGGTTTTGTCAAAGTGTATGATGGGCTAAGCAGAACCTACCATAATTCTGTGCTGACACTGACATACAGCTACTGTGATTAGAAATGTGTTCAGTGTTAAGATTGTTACTTTCTCATTCCATATTACTTTCTGCATTGCCTGCCTGTTTTCTTCCCTTTTCTCCATGTTTTCTGTATCTCATTGCTTATCTACAGGGCTCACTGTTCCATAGAGGTCTCAAAGAATTACTTCTCCGCGCTTTCAATTTTTTGGCCACTTCTTACTTAACTGTGTGTACATCAGACTGTAGAGCTACGTGCAGTCCAGGCATGAGCTTGGGAGAACTGTTTCATCTGAGCTGCCTGCTTTAGCTTTAATTCTGATTTTCCTGTTTGTGCACTGTTATCCTTCTGCAGTCCCAGGATTCTGATTTACTGATCACATATACATCTTAACAAAACGTGTTTTGTTAGAAAGGTGAGCTTGTCTGACATTGTCTGTTTCCAAAATTTTCATTTGAGCTTTCCTTTGCAACTGTAAGTTTGAATCCATTAATTGAAGAAGAAATGGCAGAAAATAAAGGGAGATGTATTTGAGTAAGATCTTGACTAACGGCTGATTTTGGATAAACTTTGGTTTTTTAAATTAAGAAAGCAAGTTGAGCAATAGAAATTATTTTGATAAATGGAGCTGAAAAAAATAGCAATTAGATGTTTCTGCAACCTTAGCACAAAGTATTTCTAAAGCACTCAGATACTGAATTTCATTTTTTTCCATGAAAAAAATGTATATTCGCATGTATCTAAGGTCTTCTACATTTCCATATATATTTATTTACAAATATTTATTATATATACGCAGTTCAATATTTTCATTTTAAAAATTGACAAATGTAGGTGTGTGAATATATTTTAATGTAGTGGATCTCAGACTTGTCTAAATCAAAACCTCTCAAATAAGTAGCACCGCCTGTTATGTCACGGCAATGATTTGTCTGTTAATCTGATCAAAGAACAGTGAACAGTCAACGAAGTTGTATTGGCCTTTTTAAAATAAATCAAGAATGCTTTGTGACATATCTATTACAAATGGTATTTCAGTTGATTAAGGTGAATAGAGCTGGGCAGTAGAGAATTCTGCACTTATTTGGCAGACACGTTACTCCAACAAGTAAGTGCTCTTCATTCATTATTACTTTTTCTATTCTTCTCATGTCACTATGGTAATTGCAGCACAGTGGTTGCTATAGCAAAAATGATTAATCCTTCGTTGCTGTTGTCTGTGTGCTAGCAGAGGCTTTTTATACAATCTGCTTGTTCTGATTTTAAAGGAAATAAATATGTTGGAATTCTGATAAGTAATTAAAATTAAAAATTGTTTTCATAATTGTATTTGAAATTTTGGGGAAAAATGTATTTGTTAAA